GGCATAACTGTTGTTAATAACAGTATAGATATATGGTTGAGTTATTTTGTAAATATTTCTCTGATACCTACTGTAATCTTTTTCAACTATTTAATTTTWTTGTTCTTTTAATTAATTCAAATTTAAATTCTATAACTCTTACTCTTTAATTCTATAACTCAATATATTAAATGTATCATTTAGTATTCTGTGTCAACCATATGCAATTATATGCATTATTATTATTATATGCAATCAATAAATTTGATCGTTTTGAAAATGATTACAACTACACACATCAAATATATTATCACACATTCACACACGCCACTTCCTAAATTTAGGATTATAGTCTTTATAGAGACTACGATATTATTAATGCACCACAGTTAAGCTACAGACATATGCCGCAATAAACGAAATGTGTATGATTACAGTCATGGACGCCGTACACCTTATCCACGTGTTTCTTTTACCAATCACAGTGGCACGCTCGTATCACATAATCCTATGTAGCGGTAATGCGATTTCTCTGGCTTAAAMAAAAATATATAATATAATATATKATCGTATTTACGTGAAATGCRTATTTTACGGCGTTACGTATAGACAATATAGTTACATTACTGCGTCGAAAACATCAACGAACAAGCTCTTGCAAACCGTCAACTGATCTTCTCACTGTCGACAATAAAAACAAAGGAATGAATAATGATCATAAGATYGGGAGTCTACTAAATTTTATATTATTTTCMCTTCAATGAATATTTTAAGCTTAAAATTAATATTATTCAAATAAATTACATTTAACAACAATAATATCATAAAATTGACCAAGTCATATTTCAGGCAGACAGATCCTTTTGTTTAGAATCGTTTTTATTATACAATAGTTATTGATTTCAAATTTAACATACGTATGACAGTGGCTACCTCGATGTATAATGTACATCAGAGCATTGGCCACTTACCCGCAACTTAACAGTATTTTTATGTCTTTAATCACCTTTTAGAGTTTTAGAGCAGTGAAAATGCTTCAATATAAATTTGGATGATGGTTTATATCCAGAAAAAACGAATGAAACATGAATGAAAAATGGGTATTATTAAGGTCCGCTCAAACCGAAGCGGTACTGGTGGCGGTAACTTCAGCGGTATTTATCGCTTTTTAAATACCGCTGATCTAACCTAACCGGAGAGCGAAATATTTCACCGAAAATTACTATAGTCGATATTGTGACACCCATGCGCGTACATATATTATAGTAATTATTATATTTTTATTTATTAATATTAATATTTTAAAGTACAAAACAACAAATTGATTTATTTATTTTTTAATTTTTAAAGATTCAACTGCAAGGTGTACAATTACGATGAATACTCGTAGATTTGTGTTTGAATATAAAGTCAAAATATATCATACAATGTAATGATAAGCTTTCTATAGATATTAATATATTAATAATAAAATGTAGATAACTCATATTTGGGAATYTACAACTGATTATCGTTGCGGTAAACGAAAAATAAAAATTTCGCGCTCAATCTTGAGGTAACATTTTCGCCGCGGTATTAATTTCGCGATAGTGAGTGCGTCGGTATTAAAACGTATAGACATTAGATTTCGCTGCCGCTACCGCTTCGGTTTGAGCGGACCTTTACGCGATACTACTTATAGTATTAGACGAAATCGATTTCGTTTTTGTATGTACTTGAAGTTTTCTCAAAATGTAATGTATTTCTAGTCATAACAAAATGTATTGTAATTCAAAACATTTTGGCTCTTTTTTATCGTTTATAAAAATAGGAAATTTTAAATTTTAAACATATTTAATGTTTTTATTTAATTTATAATATATTTTATAAAAAAATTTACATTTATATGATCTATAAAAATAATTTTTCACTAATTCATAATTTAATAAAATTTAATTTTCAAATGATTAAAAATAATAATGATACACTATTAAAATTAAAATAATTTAGTATTTGTTTTCCAAACACCAAATATTCATAAAAAATTGAAACAGTAAAACATACACAGTCCAATTTAATAGTGTTCGGTTTTCATAAAACGTATAATTGAATGATTGCGATTTATATTACCTAAAATATCGTTAATAATGTGCTAAAAACATTTTAACTTAAAAACAAAGTTAGGCCCACAGGTTAAGACGTAACAAAGAATACACACATGTTCAACCGGAACACACAACTTGTTATAGGTAGTACAAGTACATGAGGCGACTGTTTTAATTGTATTAATCTATTTGTATTTAAACCCTCATTCATCTATATAATTGTAGTCGTAAATGTTAAAAAAGGGATTATAATTTAATCTATGGTAATAGGTTATATATTTAGATCATTTTTATCGCTCTCTTATCGCCTTCCGCTATATCATAATTACTTAATATGTTATTTGTTCAACTGCAGTGAAACATGATCATCCGATTATATTACGTGCAATTATATACTCCACATTAAATGTATACCACTTGGCATGAGCACACAATGGTAACTTTTCAGGAAATTCTCAAATTTAAGTTGCTAAATAAAGGTTTAATGTAATTTCAAAATAGGTATATGCTATTGGTTATAAAATAAATATTTTTATGGTATATATAATAATTAATTAGGAAATATTTTAATAAGTATAGGTACTATTCAAAAAGTAGAAAAATATAATCAAATGTATCATTCGGTATMGATAAATAAAGACTGTAAATTTCTTTGGTTCATTCAAAAAATACTAATGATATATTGAATGAAACTATTTTTATTCAAGTTCACTTTTTTGCGACGAAGTATCGTCACACACAAGAGCCTATTTCACATTCTAAAAATTAAAAATTGTATTTTATTTTTATATTGTCAATATGTCAATATCATACCAATATTTATTAAGTTACAAGTTCATATCATTTTTCCCTCCTCACCAGTCACACCAATGGGTGTCCATGCCACTTGACCAAAGTGTTGTGAATATTAACTTAAGTGTGTTAAAATTACTACATCTTGACAAACAATTACTTTCTTTAATTAATCATAAAAATTGTATGCATTTATTGTATAACATTTAGGAGTTCTTCTCGTTTCAATTTACCAGCTGGAGATCTAGGCAAGTCGTCAACGAATACAATGCCACCTCGCAGTTTCTCATGGTCTTTCACTCTATCTGAAAGATATTTTACGGGAAAATGATAGCGAATAACTAAACACATTTCGGAAAGACATTAATATTGTCTATGAATGTATAGCGTCTCACCATTGACATAGGATAAGAGTCGGTCAGGTTCAACATTTTGACCCGGTTTGACTTTAACAACTCCAACCAACAAATCTCCGTCAACACTGAACTTTCCCGTCACTCCGGCATCGAGTACGGCAGGATGACTTAATAAAACGGTTTCAATGTCGGACGGCGCAATCTATATAAACATATTTTATATTCAAGAAAAAAAAAATCGGTTATAGGTACTATAATACGTCTATACGATTGTATGTAACTGCGTGATGTTAAGAATATCGGATCGTCATACCCTCTGGTCCTTGTAAATCATCAGCTCTTTAATCCGACCGACGATGAACAAACAACAGTCGTCCGTATAGTATCCAACATCACCGCTTTTGAACCAACCGTCCTCGTCGTACGAACAAATCGTTTTTTTCATGTCGTTGACGTAGCCCATCATGTTGGAAACCGATTTAATACGAATTTCTCCCTCAGTATTGGGGCCAACACAATTGCCAGTTTCCAAGCTAACAATCTAATAACAACGATAAGGATATAAATATTTACAAACAACTTTTTTTTTTGTCTTGACTCACCCTGATTTTTATACCAGCTGCTGGTCTCCCAACAGATCCGGCAATAACTGTACTTTTATCTGAATCCATAGACCAAACGGCTAAAATACCCTGTTCTGATGCACCGTACCCCTGTTTGATTGGTATCCTTCCTTGTAGTAGATTGTTTTCAATTTTCTTTTGTAATTCGGCTCGCATAGGAGATCCGCCAACTATGCATGTCCTTAAACTCTGTATATTATATTTGTGACCATTTGCCATTTGACAAGCCATCATCTCATTCATTGCAGCAACACCGGTCATCAGGAATGTTGGCTTTAAAAAAATAATCAATAAACTTAAGTAAATGGTAATAAAGCATAAAATATAACAATATTAAAAACGTATATAAATTTATTTACAGGAATTAACGGCATATTGAGAAATTACAAAAAAATGTAACTGAAAGTTATGAAATTTTAAGTTTAATATTATATATAACTATACATTTATATACTAATCCTTATAATTGATATATAATTAATAACAAAACAAGTTATACAAGGAAACATAAATAAATAAAACAATTTATAATATATTAGATAATGAAAAAATAGTATACTATAAACGTATTATTAGAATATCTATTTTTCTTATCATTTTAGATTCTGAGCGGAGCGATTTTACCATGATGTGTGTTTTTTTTTTTTTGTGTGTCTGTCATCACGTTTTGGGGCAGTAAAAGTGCTTCGATTTTTGACTTTAGTACCTCGTTCGATCATAAAGTGAATCTAGTTGGTACT